AGGCACAGTGGAGGTGGAGTTCAAAGAAGAATGAGAAATTTAATGGTTTCAATCTGCCCTTGTTTTTTCTTTTTGTTTTTCTTTTTATTTTTATTTTTGCATGTTATCACTGTGCCCGTTTTTTGCTTTTATTCTTTGTTCCGCAAAGTGCGCTCTTTTAGTTTGTAGTGATGTGACAATATATATATCTTCCCCCTCTCTGCCTACAGTTTACCGGGCAGCTCTGTATGACGATATATACGCAGAGAGAGAGAGAGAGAGAGAGAGAGAGAGAGAGAGAGAGAGAGAGAGAGAGGGGGGGGAACAGAACCTTTCGCTTCATCAAGAGAAAAGAGAGGATGTGGCGGAGACTTCAACAGCGCCAGTTATTAGTCTGTGTGTTGAGCACCAGCTACATTTCATCTGTTTTGTACGAGGACTGGGTAAAAATTCATGTCTGTATCTTTCCTGTTTTAATGGATATATGCATAAGGTAAGCCAGAGCATACTCACACTAGAACTTTCCTGAAAAATGTATCCTATTCGCAATTACGGCCAATCGTCCGAAGTATCTGACCGGAATCAAGTCGAACAAGTCCTGGTGTGAATACGCCCTCGGTTGTAAAGGAATGGAATGCCGGTCGCGGTTCTCCTGCCAGCAGACTGGGCGAAAAATACTGTCTGTATTTTTCCAGTTTTAATGGATGCATACATAAATTAAGTGAGCGGTGGCAGTTCATGTTGGTGGCGATTCTCCAACATGAGGCAGAGGGATTGCTCAGTAAAACGAACGGATGGGTTCTGAATCGATCACTGGTTTCCTGCCCAGGTGGAGAACTATCGATCAAGCTTGTGATTGATCCATCGGATGGTCGAATGTTCTTACACACGCACAGCTGTCAACAACCTCGCAGATCTGCACGTTCACGGGCGACCCGACTACTCCCGACTTCTGCTGCTGGAATGCTGGACGCAATCCATATGCCCACAAGTCGCCGGATCGTAACAGGCATGGAATCGAAACGCTCTTCGAGGAGCGGACACACAGCTCTTCCAGATGTTCCCATCAACGCGGACGACTCGACTTCTGCTCCCGGAGTGGTGGATGGAATCGACATGCCCACAAGTAACCTGATCGACATAGGGCTTGGAACGACACACCCTCGACAGCCTTGCATCTTCCCGTCGACACCAACGGCTTGGCTTCGGCAACCAGAGTGCTGGACAGAATCTTACATGCCCACAAGTCATCGGATCGTCGCATGCATGGAGTGAACACGGTCTGCACGGAATCGACATGCGCTGAGCGGGATCTGCACGGCCTCAGCAGCCTTGGTGATCTTCCCATGAATATCGACGGCTCAACTTCTTAGTAGCAGAGTGCTGGACAGAACCGACATGCCCACAAGTCGTCGGATCGTCACATGCACGGAATGAACACGGCCTGCACAGAACTCTTGACACACTCTTAACCGCCTTGCGGACATCAACACCTATGACTTTGACTTTGACTTTTCCGATCAGAGTGCCACTCAGAGTCAACATGCATGCAAGTCACCGGATCGTGCCGCACACAGCCATCGACAGCCTCACAGATCTGTCCATACCCACTGATGATGATTTGACTTTGACTTTGACTTTGACTTTGACATCTGCCACAAGAGTGGTCCATGGAACCGACGTGTCCGCGCAAGTGTAGTCATCGGATGGCTACAGGCACAGCCCTCAACAGCCTTGCAGATCTGCCCTTCCACCAATGATCTTACCTTAACTGATGATGATTTGACTTTGACTTTGACTTCTGCCACTCAGAGTGCACTGCGCTGTGAGGAACATTGCGCTGCCCAACTCTTTCGGCAAGCAAAACAGCGTTGCTGCTCTCTCTGCACAGAGCTGTTTCAGGCGCTGCTCTCTGCTGTGAACTCCAAGGCACTGAGCAGTGGGAAGTGGGCTGCCAGTTGATTGCGTCTTTCAGACGAATGGATGGCTCGGATTTGTCCGTGAGTTTCGCCGTTTCTGGCAGAGCTCTGCTCATTGCTCCAACAGGACATAGGGTTTCAACTCCCTACCAGAGCTCTCTCCCTCCCTCCCTCCC